ATGGCAAAACAATGGAAACCGGAGAAGAACCCCCTTTATATAGGGGGGAAACTGTCATCATTGGGCGGGAGAACCAAAACGGCGCATTTAATGCGCACGACATCCCAAGACGGGGAAAGCTGCTCGAGGCCATAATGAAGGACGGATGGCAGTTGGAAAACCCTTCGTCTCCTGACAACGCGTGTCCTCGGCGTCAGAAGATCGAAGGCTGGGGGGCAGTTGATGGGACTCTTCTGAAAAAGCCTATGATGAAGACACGTGTCCTCGGGGGTTTCTAGAACAATGTTGCTCGGGTTCAAGCACCATCGGCAAAAGCGTCCTCTCCCCCGAGGTACCTCTCATATAGGATCACATATTCGGTACATTATACAATGACATGTGTCCTCGGTCACCATGTACCTCGGGAACACACCACCCCTTGGTCCCCCGAGGTGAGCCTTTCCTCGGCGCCGAGGGTCACTCCATCCTGGACGCTTCCTCTACTCCCGGATAAAGCTACTGACAAACTGGACATCAGCCTATGCCAGTATGGACTATTCATCATGACCTCTTCTTACACAAGTAATGTCAGAACGTGCTGGAATACCGACGTAACAGCCAATAAGGGATGGACGCGTGGCAAATAATGTCACATCCGAAGCAGACAAACCGCATGCCGCTGCTGGCACGCGACTTGGGAAAGCAAACAATTAATTACACCCTTCTGTTGACGAGACCGCATTTAATGCGGTAAGGTTCGGATATGAAAGGCAATAAATGCTCCTATTACAGAGCATTTATTGCATCCTTCCCGAAAGGAGCATATTGTACCGTCGGCGTCCCGACAACTCACCATTGATTGCTCGGGACCCCGAGCAGTCAATTAGAGAAGACATTCCTCATCAAATGATTACACACGCTACCTGTGCCTGATGATCACCTACTGACCACACTGACAGCAATCATGATCTTCTAAGGTATAAATACCCCTCCCAAAAGACAAAGCGGGTATGCAATCAAAAACTCTCAACTACAAAATATCCTTCTCAGTGTTTTCTCCTTCCTCTCTCTCTCATTCAAAGACTGACTAGACCGTCGGAGGGGATACGCCGGAAAACACTCCGGCGCCCTTCTAACTTGTTCTCCTTTGTTCCAGGAAACACCTTTCACACGTACAGGATCGTTCCTCCTTTCCCAGGATCTCCCTTTGCCGTTTCCGGTTGCCACCGTACCTTGTAGGCTGTTTCAAACGGCGTGTTTGGCTACTCAACCGGCTCACCCAAAGTTCACCAGGGGAGAGATCTGTTCCCAATATTTTATATATCGTGCAGGATCGAGCCCGCACAATTACAAATCAATAAAGTGGTGGCAGGCTTCCCGATGACGGTGATCTTGTGGAAGGCTCTTGCGCGAGTTTAGTTCTTGATTTTCGATGTAGGACCTAGCAAGCCTTATGTACTTTCACAACTCTTATGTACTTTCACAATTCGGAATCCATATTAGAAAACGGTTTAAAATAATAATAGTGTTCTTGTTCAACATGTTCAAGATCTCTACGATTTCTCCTAGACAAGTACACCGTGGGATTGTATGATGATTATGATTATGGTAGGTTTTATAGAAGACGTGTGTATGTGAATAGGAATTGTCGTACGAAAGTTATTCACCCACTCTTGATGGTTACCTTCATATGGAAGTTTTTCTCCGATGGGTTAGCTAAGGCTGAGAAGTTTTTTTTTTTTGGTTACATTAAGGTGTCAAACACTGGGGAGACTGTGAAATTGGTGGCTTATAAACTATGAGATAATGCTTGATCATGGTGAGAACTGAGTGTAGTTTTTGAGTGCAAGGCAACAATAAGCTCAAATTTTGCCTTGGTTGTGAGACTTATATCTATATATGAAGTCAAAATCGAATTTTTCTGTTGACATTCATTCGTGAATAAAAATTCGAGGGTGTGACGCATGCTTCTTATTATAGCGGCTATGTTAACATGGCGAAAATGAATGAAAAGCAATATGAACATGCTATTTTCAAATCAATTGATAAATAGTCTGATTTGTTCTGATAAATCGAAAGAGATAGAGAAGAAATCTATTAAGAATCAGAGAAAATCTCGTATATCATAACAAAAGTTTATTTTAGCGACACCAGAACTACATGAAGGACGGCAGAATCAGTCAAGCAAGAACTCCCACATTTAATAATTATGCACCGTTAATAACCAAAAAAATTGAAGTGGCCATAATTAGAGGAGATATAAGAGAGTCTCTTGAAAGTTTTTGATGGGATAAAACTCGAGAAGCATGAGATGGAGAATTAGATGACTTCTTGGTGGGTATGTCAAGTGTGTGGAGAAATGAGTGAAAATACACAAAAAAAATAAGTACGGGATTTACCCATCGAAAAATTTGACTAATTCATTCTAATGAAGGCTCCTTAGCTAGATATATATATTTTTTTTTTGAAAAAAAAGAGTATAATATTGTTTTTTTTCTTGCTCGGGGTCCCTTTTAATATAGTGATCATTGTCTTTTATAACAGAATATTAAGAGAATATTTGAAGAATATTCAAAAAATATTTGATGTGATGTGGCCTTTTAAAAGCAATGACTTATTGCCCAAGGTATGGTTTGATAACAAAAGTCCTTTTATGTCCCTTATGATAGTTTTTGTATTATTTGTTATCTTCTGAAATTTTGTATATTTTTTCGGTATCCACAATTTTCAAGAAGTATTTAAGATCATGACGACAGAGAATGGACTTGAGCAGTGAAACTGTACAAGAAAAGCTTGTAGACAAAAAACAAATAGAGAAAAATAAGTATCTCAATTATATGGAGTTTGTCATATGTTTGGATTGCCAATCGCTTTTGATTTTGATGATCTTTCCGGCTGCTAATTGACTTTGATAATTTGTGTTGCTAGATGATGAAATTACTTAAAGTAATTTTCTCAATCCACTGATAATATTAAACTTGATTAGCAAATTTAGTCCAAATACATTACTTATATCACAATTAATCGTTGTTGATCACGATGTTTTGATGATCTTTCCGGCTGCTATTTGACTCTGATAATTTTGTGTTGGTAAAGTGGATAAAATTATTTAAAGAAATTTTCTTAATCCAATGACAATAGTGAATTTGATTAGAAAATTTAGTCTAAATACATCACTTATATCACGATTGATCGTTGTTTATCAGTGGCGGATCTATAGTGGGGGCAGCTGCCTCCATTGGAATTTTAAAAAATTTTGGGATAAAAGTATAATTTTAAAAATTTATTAGAAATTAGCCCCGCTGAATTTTTTTTTAAAGATTTATATGTAATTATGATATTTTGACAAATATATGAGTCACTTATAAATGTCAAAAAAATTCTTTTAAAAGGCTAAATGCCTCCATTATGTGTTAGATTAAATTATATTGATTTAGTGTTTTGAATATTTTTATTGTGATTGGTTAAGTAATTCTTATACAAAAGTTTAGTTTAATGGAGTAGTTATAGTTTACGTTTTTTTTGATTGATTGTTAAAATTCAACTATATATGATTGAACCAAATTTTTTTATTTAAAATTTTTTTGTACGTGATTAGGTCTTATAAATAAATTTATAGTGAATTTCTTTTGTTGACCCTTTTTGTATAGTGCTTATATATATAAATTGTTACTTTAATTGGCATTCTATTAATAAAATTATATTTTTGTGAACATTTATAATTTTAATATTCATTTATGTTTTCAATTATTTTGTTCTATGAAGAGTCCTCATTTTGCTTTTATGTTTATTTGTTTTTCATGTTTTTGGTAGTGAGTCATCACCTTGCTTTTGTTTTGCCTTTCTTTCTCATACTATGTACTTCTGGAGGCTTGGCTTTTTGTTCTCCTCCCTTGTACATTTTTCCTTTTAGTTATATATATAGGTAGGGATCCTACCTATGAAGCATGAATACAGATATGGGATGCGGGTACAATACGATACGGATACGACGATACGACAAAATTAAAAAAGTAGAATACGGGTAAGGCCAAAATACGACTATAATAAAATATTTTTATTATTTTTAACCTGCTTAATACTTATATATTTTAGTAGTTCTGTAATATACAATAAGGAAAATTAATAATTATTTTTAGTTTCAAGAAAATATATATTGTATCGTTGTAATATATTTACAAAGTAAAGTGACTAATTAAAAAAATAAAAACTAATGTTTACCTAGTATTTAGAAGTAATTTTTGCTAAAATAAAAATGTAATAACTTTATTTTATACTCTTTTGACATGTAATTGTAAATAATACTTAAGAAACACTCATGTGCGTTTGAAGTAGTATGAATTTTTTATTAATGTATTGTATGGCATGTGAATTCGAAAAGAGATGTTAAAAGTTCAATTCAAAAATTATATATGTTGTTCGATCATAAAAGTATCCGTGAAGTATCCTAATATTTAATTATTATCAAACACATAGAAGATATATCAAATACGTATCTTCGAATATCCGACAAATATCGTATTCAATACGATATCGAATACAAATATTTCAACCTCAACGAAATATCTGGGTTTCGTATAATCCTACCAATTCCCTCACCCACAATGAATGGCTTTGACTTAAAAAAAAAAGTTGCCTCCACTGGGCAAAATTTTTGACTCCGCCCTGCTGTTGTTGTGGATCTCATGAACAAAAATAGTAATTACTGGTAACGATGAAAACCAATCAAATTTCAACCCACTCCAATGCAATGTACCTCACAGAAGAAGAATATAATGCAAGGAAAATCTGAATCAAATAGAAAATATAGGGTTTACTAAATCCCAACGAAATACAAACAGAAGTAAACATAGAACCACAAGTGGTTCCATAATCTCCGAAGACTCTCAAGATAATAAAATGACACTGCTAATAGTAATAAACCATGACATTGGCTCCAAGAAATAAGAAATCCAGTCGAATCAATGGTGTAAATGTTCCCCTATCAAGTTGGTGGTGGAGAGAAAAAAGGAATAGAAGGGATGGTCGTCGGAATCGTAGGAATGGAAGGGATGGTGGGCAGTGAAGTGGCAGGCAGCGGAGGAAGCGACACCTTTGGAATGGCGGGCATGGTGGGAAGGGACGGAATCTGGGTGCTTGGCAGAGGCGGCAACGTGGGCTTCGGCAGAGTCGGGGCTGTTGGCAATGTTGGCATTGCCGGCAGTGGAGGCAGTGTGGGCTTAGGGAGAGATGGGATTGTAGGCAATGTTGGTGCTGAAGTTTGGAGCAGGTGGCGGGCTCCGAGGCTCATTTGGATGCTAGAAAGTGATAANCATGTGCGTTTGAAGTAGTATGAATTTTTTATTAATGTATTGTATGGCATGTGAATTCGAAAAGAGATGTTAAAAGTTCAATTCAAAAATTATATATGTTGTTCGATCATAAAAGTATCCGTGAAGTATCCTAATATTTAATTATTATCAAACACATAGAAGATATATCAAATACGTATCTTCGAATATCCGACAAATATCGTATTCAATACGATATCGAATACAAATATTTCAACCTCAACGAAATATCTGGGTTTCGTATAATCCTACCAATTCCCTCACCCACAATGAATGGCTTTGACTTAAAAAAAAAAGTTGCCTCCACTGGGCAAAATTTTTGACTCCGCCCTGCTGTTGTTGTGGATCTCATGAACAAAAATAGTAATTACTGGTAACGATGAAAACCAATCAAATTTCAACCCACTCCAATGCAATGTACCTCACAGAAGAAGAATATAATGCAAGGAAAATCTGAATCAAATAGAAAATATAGGGTTTACTAAATCCCAACGAAATACAAACAGAAGTAAACATAGAACCACAAGTGGTTCCATAATCTCCGAAGACTCTCAAGATAATAAAATGACACTGCTAATAGTAATAAACCATGACATTGGCTCCAAGAAATAAGAAATCCAGTCGAATCAATGGTGTAAATGTTCCCCTATCAAGTTGGTGGTGGAGAGAAAAAAGGAATAGAAGGGATGGTCGTCGGAATCGTAGGAATGGAAGGGATGGTGGGCAGTGAAGTGGCAGGCAGCGGAGGAAGCGACACCTTTGGAATGGCGGGCATGGTGGGAAGGGACGGAATCTGGGTGCTTGGCAGAGGCGGCAACGTGGGCTTCGGCAGAGTCGGGGCTGTTGGCAATGTTGGCATTGCCGGCAGTGGAGGCAGTGTGGGCTTAGGGAGAGATGGGATTGTAGGCAATGTTGGTGCTGAAGTTTGGAGCAGGTGGCGGGCTCCGAGGCTCATTTGGATGCTAGAAAGTGATAAAATTAGGATCAAAGACAGGATGGAACAATGGTTGAAAGAAGCCATTGTTACGCTAAAGCAAAAGTATATGTAAAGAGCTACTTCTTTGGGTTTAAGGGCACAAAACTCCTAAGGAGCATTTATAGTGAAAAGGTGTTGATTTTTTCTAATAGTGGGTTTGTATGTAGGTGGGTAAGTGTGAAGAAGCAGTGGTTACTGGTTAGTTCACCTTCTGAACTAGATTTCTTGCCAACTGAGATATAATCAAACAAACTCTACCTAAGGAAGCTTGACACTTGCAATCTATCTGAACCAACCGAAAATGAGAAGTCAACACGAGAAGTTTAGAACAGATTCAACTGGCTATGACTTAGGAATTGCACCAATGGTAGAGTGAACAAACGCCATGTTGTTCTGATATACCCCCTGTGCTACTGATGTAGGATAGTTTTAAAAACTTACTGATTTTTTTTTGTTTGCTAGAATTAAAATTTAATTAGGGCTATTTATTTTCCGTATATAGTGATTAGTTGTCTAACCATTTCAACTTGTCCAAAATCTAGACAGACAGCACGTGTTTTAGATCTTTTTGGTACCTTTCATATAATTAAGTTTTTAATTCCGTTTTTGGGAGAGAGTTTAAAGGTTTTGGGCATTCCTATAAATCATCCTTATGAATCACTAGTCTGCTTGATTCAATAGTATATATTTTCAGATTTTCTCTTATTCTTTTATGATTTTGTCTCAATGCTTGATACAAAAAGAGACAATGGCTTTTTCTATCCTTGCTAGTGCTGTGCCAATTGGTATCAAAACCTTAAATGACCGTGACAATTGCTAATCAGCGAAGTGTTGGCAAGCTTTCACATGATAGTGATAATATGGAAGAGGCTCTTGCGAGAGCCAAGTTCTTGATTTTGTGACGTGGGACTCAAAAAGGCTTTCCTACTTATGATTCAGGATCCGAATAAAATTTGGGTTCATAGCAATAACAACATATGTGCTCGACCTATTTGAGATTTGTATTCTTCCCTAGACGACAACATATTTATGATGCAGATTTTGATAATTATCATGTGTACATCGTAGAAATGTCTGATAGTTATGTTTATGGTAAATATTATAGAAAATATGTGTATGAGAAGAGGAAATCTTGTATGAAAGCAATTCAACCCATTTTTTCTTGTTACCCTTGTATACACATTTTTCTGTTGACTAACCAAGGTTGAAAAGTATTTTTTTTTATTACATAGAGGTTTCAAACAATGAGAATGTGAAATTGGTGGCTTATAATTTATGGGGCAAAGTTTGTTCATGGTGGAAACGAGTGTAGTTTTCATGTGCCGGGCAACAAAAAGTTCAAATATTGCCAAGACATCATGACTACACAGCCAGATCAATCAAGCAAGTACTCCCATATTTATTAATTATGGAGTTGTAAATATATGAAGAAATAAAAATTGAAGTGACCACAATTTGTGGGGATATAGGTGAGTATCGTGAAGATGATCAAGAAGAAAGTATTAAAGTTGATGGCGAGTGAATGAATTTATGATGATATATATAGGAGAGTCTCTTGAATATTACCAAGAGAACGTCGTGGAGAAAGATGTAGAAAAAATTAATGGTAATCTCACAGGTGGTGATACAATAACTGCAGTCGTTGTATTTGTTTAGTAAGATCAATGAAGATGACAAAAATTACGACAAAATTGTGGATTGGCATTGGCTTTTTATTTAAGTAATGATATTTAGATTTAAAAAATTGACCTAATTTACTGTATGTGCTCTAATAAAGTTATTATGACCATAATTCTTGAAATTCCATCACTTAATACATCGTTACGTCAAACCAATTAAAATCTCATGAACAAAAATAGTGAGTACTGATATTGATAGAAAAACCAATCAATTACAAGGAAGAATATAATGCAATGAAATTACTAAGTAAGGATTTACTAAATTCCAATGAAATAAAAGCAAAAGGAAACATAAAACCACGAGCAGTTCCATACTATCCCAAGACCCCCAAGAGAATGAAAAGACACTGATAGCTAGTAGTAATCAACCGCCATGACAATGGCTCCAAATAAATGATAAAAACCAGTCACAACAATGGTGTGAATGAAGAGTTGGCAACTCAAGGACTAGTGGTTGATGGTGGTGGAGAGAGGAAAGGAAGTGAAGGGATTGTGATCGGAATGGGAGGAATTGAAGGGATGTTTGGCAGTGAAGTGACTGGCAGCGGCGGTAGGGACACCTTCGGAGCTGCAGGCATGGTGGGCAGCGGCGGAATCTGGGTGGTTGGCAAAGGCGGCAATGTTGGCTTTGGCAGAGTTGGGGCTGTTGGCATTGGAGGCATTGCTGGAAGTGGAGGCAGTGTGGACTTTGGCAGAGATGGAATCGTAGGCAGTGCTGGTGCTGAAGTTTGAAGCAGCTGGCGAGCTCCGAGGCCCATTTCGAAGCTTGAAAGAGATAAAATTAGGATAAAAGATAGAATGGAACAATGGTTAAAAGCAGCCATTGCTATGCTGAAGCAGAAGTTTATATGAAGATCGACCTCTTTGCAGGGTGATTAGAAACTGTTTGTTTTGAGTTGAAGGACAGAAGCCGATCCTAATGGTTATTTATAGTACGAGAAGTGTTGAATTGTTGTAATAGTTTGATTGGATGTAGGTGAATAAGCAGTGGTTAGTTCACCATCTTCTCAACCAGATTGACACCTAAGGCAGCTTGACACTTGTAATCTATCTGAACCAACCGAAAATAGGAAGTCACCATGAGAAGTTAGGAACAGGTTCAACTGGTTCTGACCTACAAATTGCACCAATGGGAAAGTGGACAAACATCATGGCAAGATTCAATGTGGGACCCACATAGTTTAGACCATAGAAGTTTTTTTTTTATATAAAAATAAAGATTAATTGAGTTTTGTTATTTTGTTAGAAATGAAATTTAATTAGGGATAGTAATTTTCTAATTATACAATTTTGTTTTGGAAGCATTTAGCGTTTTGGACATTCCTATGAACGGTCTCTATGTGTTAATAATTTGATTGATACAATAATATCTATATCTATTTTCATAAGTTTTCTCTTATTTACTGTTCAACTTTTTGTGAATGTTTGACATATAAAAAAACAGTGATTGATTCTATTTCCATTACTATTGTGTCAATCCATATCAAAACACCCATTGACCTTGAATAATTGCTAATTAGCAAAATGGTGACAAGCTTCCCCATGACAGTTACCATGTTGAAAAAGCCCTTACGAGTGCCAAGTTCTTGATTTTTTGATATGGGACCCAACAAGCCTTTCATACTTTGACAATTTAGATGTTAGGTCAACGTTGAGAATGATTCAAGATCCAAATCATAATAGAGTTTGCAACAGCCATAATGTTTGTGTTCAACTTGTTTGAGATTTCAATCCCTTCCCCCTAAAAAATAAATTATGTATGATGCAAATTCTAGATAAAAGACATGGGCATGAGTAGGAATTCTTGTATGAAAGTTTATCTATTCAATATTGACGGTTATCTTCATAATATTATTATTATTATCATTTTGGATTGGTTAGCCAAGTTTTTGTTTGAGAAGGGTCTAATAACAATTTATGTTTTTTGATGGTGCTCGAAAATCTATTTGCCTAATTACAGAACCTATGATGCTGAGGCCCAAGGGGAACTTTTGTGTATGTTTGTGGGTGATGATGCGTTTAGTGTGTAAAAGATGATGAAAACAATAATATGAGTGATTCACCTTAGCCGAAAGATTAAGGTTACGTCAATTGTAATGAAAATTCTTGCTTCTTGAGGATTGCATTACTTAAAGAAGAATGTAGCAGTTACAAAGAGCTTGGATGAGAGTCTTTTATATAGTATTTCTTAAGTTGTCTATGATGATCTCCTTATATAATAAAGTAGAACGATTTTAAATTTAAGAGACAAAGAACGACTCAGATCATTTTGAGATCAAAAAATGCATCATCCAACGACCGACGATATTTTAAACTATCTCAAGCTATTGACGTCTTAGATCATTTTGATCTGACGTATCATATTAGCTCTTGAAAAATTTTTGCCGTTCAAAACTTTTAGTTTCCAAAACTAACATCCCTAAATTTAATTCCCCAACCCAATCAAAGCCGGCAATTAAACGATCTTTCATTCCTCAACTCAGTCTCTTTCTCCCTAAAATATAGATTATAACTCTTATCATTATTTTTCTGATTTTATTTCCTAAGTTAAAGAATCGTTTTCTATACTGAGACATTGATCATGATTGTCCTCACACTCTCATCTTTCACGATTCTTTTTCTAAACTGAAACACATGTCTCCCCAAAATTCTATCATAATGCAGCTGCTCTTCATTTTTACTGTTCATATTACACACACATCTTTACTGCACATATATACAATACAAAAATCGATGACATATTATATCTACATGTTATATCTTAGGGAAAGTTTCATTTAAACATCATATAGTTGAGTCTAAATTCAATGACAACTCTTATAACAATAATTTTTGTCTCTGTCAGTAGATAAAATAATGATTTAACTAAATATTTTATAAAAATACTAAAATTACTCTTTATTATGTAAATAGACTAAAATATCATCAATTTTTCCTCATTATATATGCGTTAACTAGCTAACAAACGTAATTTCAATCATTATATTATTCCAATGAATTTTTATTTTAAAACGTCGTATTATAACTTAATTATAATATTAGTCATCATATTATCACTCATTTGGTTACATAATCAAATTTTTATAATGTTAATATTTTTTTATCATTTTTATAGTTAAAAATAATTTTTCAATAATAAAAATTACAATTGATAAAGTCAATGTCAAAATCTCATTTATTTTTAATTTTTCTATTATCATATGTCCTCCACAACATCACCCGACCGCTCCTCACACATCATACTTCATATAGAAAATTTTAAAATTATTTGATAAAATTTAATATTAATTAAATAAATTTGATCTTAATTTTGATAAAATTAAATATTAATTTAGTTTTAATTTGATAAAATTAAATATTAATTAATTTGAATGTTGTTTTAATAAAACTAAATGTTCATTTGGTGTTAAATTAAAGAAATGACATTAATATGATAAGGTTAAATTTTAAATTAATAGAATTTAATATTTTATTTAATAAAATAAATATTTTAATTTAATAAAATTAATATTTTAATTTAATAAAATTGAATTTCAATTTGATGTTGATTTGATAAAAATAAATAATAACTTAATATTAAATTAAAGAAATAATATTAATTTGATGAAATGAAATATTAAATTAATATAACTAAATGCTAATTTGAGAAAATTAAATATCAATTTTGTGTTGATTTGATGAGATGAAATATTAATTTTGTTTAAATTAAATAAATAAAATTAATTTGATCAAATTGAATATTAAATTGATCAAATTAAAGGCTAATATAATAGAACTAAAAGAGAGTGTATTGAAATTTCAGAATCAAGAAGGGGTGTTGTTAAAATTATGTCTATTTATAGGGAGTGTTGTTAAAGTTAGGTTTATTTATAAGGGGTGTGGATAAAATTTATCCTATAAAATATTCAAGGATATTTCTATAAATCAACCATCGTCATTAACGGTATAATTTGACAATCACTAATAAGGAGTGACAGTGAAATTACAAAATTGGAAGGAGGTGTCGTTAATTTTAAACCTAATTACAGGGGATCTGAATGAAATTTTCACTCATATCTATACAAATCTATATAATAAAACACACAGGAAGTTGAATTTTATCTCCTATACATTTTCCATCCCCAAAACCATCACATCACTCATTTTTGTCATATGTTCAACCATTTAATATTTGATTAATTTGTAATTTAATATAATTTTTATTTCAAATACTATCCATACACGATAGTATAGATTTGTTAAAAAAATTTATTGAATTACATATTTTGAGAAAATTTTGTTAATATCTTTAAGAAAATAATGAATAAAAATAAATTTTATATAATTTAATCAAACAAATTAAAGAAAAAAAAATATTATTTAATATAGTGATATCAACTTTTTAGGACTCGATTTTTTTATTTTATCGTGCCTTCAGGCACCAGTTATGACTAGTATATATATATATATATATATATATATAAAAAAAATTAGAAGAACAGTTTGGTAACCAACAAATTAATAAATTGACTTTTCCAAATGTTAATCCAACCAGTATTAGTAAAAACTGGTATACTAGACCAACACCACCTGATCTTCAATTTGAAGAAAAAAATATTAATAATTAGTTTTCTGTTCAATCTAACAAACTCTATGAATGAAACATAGATGATTTAAGTGAATAAGAAATTCTGAATAAAGTCAACCACATGTTCATGGTTATTAACAACTATGTCACAAACCTTGACCAATCTGAACCTGAGATTGTTGACCTTATTGCCTCAGGGTTCACAGGTATGTTGCGCAGTTGGTGGGACAATTATCTCACTCAGGAAATTAGAGATGAGATTAAGTATGATGTTGTCAAGGATGATGATGGTGTATATATATATATGGTTATCTAGGGTTTTTGCAATTCTTCCTTTTCTTGTTAATTCTATGGTTTCCTCCTCAATTGTCCAGTAACGGGGTCTATCAGCTTGATGTCTTCCACGCCCACGATCCTTGAAACGGAATGTATGCGATATTTCCTTTATCATAAAATATTTGTTTGATAGAGTCGTCAGACATTGTCCCCCTATCCCCTGACCACGTGGTGCGGCCGAGGTTACTTGAGCCTTGTCCTATGTCGAACTCCTTATTTTCGAGTAGATATCTGTCGTTGAGTTTGCTGAGACCGAGTTTGTATATATTCTGAGTAGAACAATCCTGGGCTTTCACAACACTGGGCTATGGCCCAGTCCCATGATAGGACGGGCACTATGCAAGTCATCCATTTGCATTGTTTTTTAACGGGCCCACTAGATGTTTTGGGCTCCAAGTGGGCGGCTCAAGCTTAAATCCATCGTCATTATTTGTAAAACACAAAATAGTTTAGAAAAAAAAAATTTCGAAACACCTAAGAGTTATACTCGGATTGTTAACTAAGGGTTCATTTTAAGTGTCTAGGTTATTATCTATTTTTTATTTTTTATTAAATTGAGGTTTCAAACGATATGAAATTGGTAGCTAAAACTTTTGGGGAAAACTTTTTCATGGTGGGAACAAGTATAACTTTTTTCGTGCAAGGTACAGCTCAAATTTCGCCTTGTCGAAGATGAATTGGCTATTAATAGAGCGATTTGTACCTCTAGATCATAGCAAATTTTTATTTTAGCAACACCTGAACTACAAGAAGGATGGTAGGATTAGTCAAGCAAATACTCTCATATTTAACAACTAGCAATAATTTCGTGCTTGAGTATTCTCTATAATGCTAAAAATTGAACATTAATCGTGTAATATTTATTTTTTAAATAATAATTTATTTATAAATAAATTAAAGTTAATAAAGAAAATAAGATAGAGGTAAGGGAGGGAAAGGAGAAGAGAGAGAGAGTGAGTGGTAAGTGCTAATTAATTGTGTCATTTGACATTGGTGGTGTGTTGGTTGAGTTGACTTACATTAGAGGGTCATGCAAAGAAGATGATTTTTTTAACAGGAAAATAAATTTGGGGATAAATTTTGTACTATTAGATCAAAGTAAATGAAAATTAAATTAATTTTAACCATTGTGTTTTTATGCGTTAAGAATTCGATTTCCGTAAATACCAAAAAAAAAAAAAGAATTAAATCAACCCTAATTAGGTGTCATAGGTTTGTCTCTTGAAGGTTATCAAAAAAAAAAAGGATAGATGATGAGAGCGAATGAACTTATGGTGATGTAGGGAAGCTTCTTCAATGTTACCAAGAACAGAATATTGTGAAAAAAGGTAAAGAGAAAATTTCTGATATTCCCGCATGTGATGATGCAACAATTGAAGTTGTTTAGTGAAATCAACGAAGACAACGAAAGTTGTGATGACTTTTTAGATAGACAAATGAATGAACAAGTATCTCAATTATATAGAGTTTGTGATATTTCTGGGTTGTCATTGACTTTTAATTTTGATTTTGATGATCTTTTCGGGTGTAATTTGATTTCACTTTAGCTTTTTTTGTAATATTTTTCTTAATTTAGTGATAATAGTGATTTCAATCAACTAATTTGGTCCAAATGCATTACTCATATCACGATTGATCGTTGTTAATTTTTCGTGGATCTCATGAACAAACCATAAGGACAGATGTTGATAGAAACCAATCAATTACAACACACACCCACCCAGCAAAAAGAATAATATAATGCAAAACGCATTCCTGACGAAATATAGATGCTATAAACATAAAACCATGACCGTGGGTTCCATAGTATGCCAAGACTCTCAAGTCTCAACACACAATCAGACGACACACAGCTAGTAGTAATATATAAACCATGACAATGGCTCAGGAAAAAAAAAAAATCAATGGTGTGAATGGAATGTTGGCATCTCAAGGGCTAGTGGTTGATGGTGGTGGAGAGAGAAAAGGAATCGAAGGGATTGTTATAGGAATGGTAGGAATTGAAGGGATGGTGGGCAGTGAAGTTGCCGGCAGAGGAGGCAGCGACACCTTGGGAACGGTGGGCATGGTGGGCAGCGATGGAATCTGAGTGGAAGGCAAAGGCGGCAACGTGGGCTTCCCCAGAGTCGGGACTGTTGGCAGGGTTGGCATTGCTGGCAGTGGAGGCAATGAAGGCTTAGGAAGAGAAGGAATCGTAGGCAGTGTTGGTGCTGAAGTTTGTAGTAGGTTACGAGCTCCAAGGCTCATTTGGATGCTTGAAAGTGATAAAATTAGGATCAAAGACAGAATGGAAGAATGGTTAAAAGCATCCATTGTTATGCTGAATCAGAAGTATAAACAACTAACTTGTGATTATAGAATCTGCTGGTTTTTAGTTGAAGGAAAAAGGTTGATCCTAAGGGTTATTTATACTGAGAGAAGGGTTGAATTGTTTTAACAGTGGGATGGAATGTAGGTGGGTAAGTGTGAAGAACCAGTGGTTAGTTCACCAATTCTAAACTGGATTTCTTGCCAACTCAGATATAATCAAACAAACTCATACCTAAGGAAGGTTGACCCTTGCAATCTATCTGATGCAACCAAAAATGGGAGGTCATGTGCCTAAGAATATGCCAACAAGAAATTTGAACTTTAATCTAAAACGTAATTTAAGGCTGCTTACCTTTTCATCTTTTTTTTTTTTTGATTTAACGGTCCGAGGTACTTGAGACAGTTTACGCGCTGTTTGACTAATTCTCTCTTCGGTCTGATCAAAAGCAGGTCATCTATGCTGAAACTAAGGTATTTATCATAGATAATCCCTCAATCTGGCACCAAAAGATTGTCAAAATTCTAACTCAAAATTTCTAAATTTATAACTCGTCTTTATTACCACTTAAACTGCCCTTAGAATTACCTTCATATCTTTCAAATCATTTTCATTGAACACTACCAGGATTCACTTATGTGATGGTTATAATTTTCCATATTGCTCGGAATAGAGAATTTGGTAAAGAGCTATATTACTCTTCATCATCACTGGACCTTGCAATACGCGGGAGTATGCTGCAATGGGTATGGTATTTTATAGGATTTAAATGTAGCATTATTCATAAATAAAACACATTATAGTTCGACTAGTGTTACATGGATTTTTAAAATCTGGATAAAATAGGATTGCTTATCCAATAAAATGGAGATAGAAAAGTCGTTATCCAGTTTGATTCAACCAAGTGAGGGTCGAAGGAGAAATGAACTAAATACAAACCTTTCAATTCTTTCTATTATTTATTTAGAATTATTTCGATGCTACTAATTGGGGGATTGGAGATCTGGTGATACGAGCCAAATATAGATTTAAAATCATATTAACCTAAAAGTTTAAGTCAATAAGTAATCAGTCTATTCATAGATTATTAAAACACTTTTTATTTTTTTATTTTTTTTCTTTGTGATATGGAATTCTCATACATGATATCTGAACAATTTCCTCCTCACGTGTGAATCATATTAAGCTTTAGATTTTGCATCGGTTCATAAAACCAGTTAAAAATTCAAACATTTTTATCCCACCGCTCATGTGAGTTACTTTTCTGTAGAACAGGCAGTAGGCAGGCAAGGCACTATTCAAAACTATTCGAATCTCCCTAGATTGAGAAACTAGTTTTAATCCTTCGACTTTAATCCACCACTCTCTACTAGGAGTTCAATTTGAGCAGGTCAATCCGAATTCAACTCGAGTCCAATACGAAAAAATAAGGCTTGGATTAGAATTTTTAATATTTGAGTTGGGTCTGGGCAAAAAAATCCCAACTCGAATTGAATTTGAATAAGTCTCGGGTTGTCAGGTTCAACCCGAATATTAAAATCGGATTAAACCCAAATATACATAAATATATACATATATTTAATTAGGTTTAGTATTTATCTTCACTCTTTAAAGTCCAGACTTTCACTTCACTTCATCACTCTCAAATCCCTCTCTCACTCGTCACTCGTCTTTCGTCTTTCATCTCTAATCTAGTCTCAACCTCTCTTTCTCACTTGTCACTCGTTTGAGTCGTCTCAGACTATCAACATTCCTCTCTCACTCGTCACTTCTTCTTCTTTTATCAACTCGAATTAAATAACTCGAGCTCAACCCAATTTGTAACTTGACATTAACCCGAATTAAGTAATCTGAATTCAACACAAACCCACCCAAATTAAACTCGGATAATACTCGAGTTGAGTACCTCGGATTGAGGTAGAAGTAGGGTTATAGTTAGAGTTGAAGATTATATACTTTAAATTGGACTAGAGTTGACCTCTCAACCCACCTGAGTTGCACCCCTAGTCTCTACCAGCACCACGGGTTTTTCTCCTCTACAAGGAACCCCATCTTGGTGGGCATCTTCTTTGTTACTCGGTCCATATCTTACTATATTCCATAGAAAATTCATCAGTCAGTCACTTCCTAATTTCATCAAGGAATGCCCAATGGCACTTATGGAACACCCTAACCAGTAGCTCATTGACCATTATAATACCGTCGAGTTCAACCTAGATCGTCATCCATCACACAACTACCACCTGTGAAAATTACATATTGTTCATAATTGCTCGAATAAGAATCATTCATTCATCATCCTAGTCGTAATTTTGTACCTTGTAATTTTGTATAGGTCCCGTCAGTGTCAATTTTTAATGTTCCAACACCAACCCAAACCAAGTTAGTAATTCGGGTTGGATCCGAATTCAACTCGGAATTACCACATAGTTGTGTACCTAATAATCAAACTCAAACAACGGATCTGAAATTCAGTTTCGTTGTGTAACCCAAGAATCAAAGTTAAATTGAGTTTGATTTAAACCCAAAGTTTCCCCAAAAATTAAATCCAATGATTGAATTCGAGTTCTATTTGAATTAATTAAACCCAAATTTTACCTAGAATGAAGTAAACTGAGTTCATAATTTATACATGGACACTACTAAGGTTGAAGGGTTCGGGTTGATGGATTCAGGTGGAGCTTGTTGGGTATTTTGCCGAAGGGTAGACAAAATAACCAATTGGATTGAATGAGTTGTTACACTAGAGCTCTCACACACACAAACACATACACGCACAAGAGATCGAGTAGAACTCACAGGAAACACTCTTCATATTATTGCTGTTTGGCCCTTGGCCTGAATTACAAATCTAGAGACAAATTCAATGTGAACTTATTTAGGGCTGATAATCGAATCAATCTTTGCGAGGTCAAGCTAAGCTTGTTGAGTTCGTTTTTTTTGAATAAGTCTAAAAATTATTCAAGCTTGGTTCGTTTAGAAAATGAGCCGAATCTAAGATAAGTCCAAAATGAACCAAGTCTAAGCCAAGCCTATAATGAACCGATTCCGAATAGTTCAACTATTTTACATATAAACAAATTAAGTTTTACGAGCCTAAAAAATTATTCGAGTTCAATTCGTTTAACTCAATTACCAACCCTAAACTTATTCATGCCAAATAATAGTAACATTGTCTGTAAACAAACTGAGTAATGGCTTTGGACTTGTGCAATATTTCATGTCACAAGCATTTGAACGAGGAAAATGTGTGAGGCTTTACAGCATGCCCACTTTTTGATGATTCTATTGAATCCCATAGATTCTGTTTGTGCCATTGCAAATGCCCTTTTAATGAGTTTGGATTTTGAAAAACTATTTCCCCTGTTCCCCTCCTTAACTTGACCGTTTGATATTTTCATTTTTTAGTTAAACTTAATGTGAAGCTTATGGTTGATTACATGCATCTAAGACTTACACTTATGTTTCAATCATTAGTCCATAGAGTGTGTGGCTGCGAACTGGGGTGATTCTAGTTACCAAACAAATGTGAGGTGTTTAAGTTACAACCACGCGTGCATATGTGAGTTTGAGAAAAGCCCAGAACAATTATAAATACGGTATAGTATCCATAAAAATCCTCAGTGGCAACAAGCTGTAATCAAAGAGGAGAACATAACCAAGGGACCACAATACATTATATCATGCATGATGCATTGAAAGATAAACTTATTACTCCAAGTGAAATAGCAAATGGATTCACTCAAGTCTGCCAAAACACAAACACAAACAGAAGATACATACAAAGACACTTCTAGTAGTAATAAGGCATAATAATGGCTGAAATAGTTGGTAGATTCAACAGAATGATGAGTGGAATGTCGATCATCGGGACCTCAAGGGCGAGTGGTTGATGGGGGTGGTGAGAGGAAAGGAATAGGTGGAAGCATCGTGGGAAGGCCAGGGATGGAAGGGATTGTGGGCATGGTAGGCAGAGTTGGGTTTGGCAAAGATGGGATTAGGTTTCTTGGCAAAGGTGGCAATGTGGTGGGTATGGGCAGGTTTGGGATTGAAGGTATTGTAGGCAGTGACGGTATTGTCTGCAGTAAATGGCGAGTCGCGACGCTCTCATGAACACTTGAAAGTGATAATACAAGGATCAAAGAAAGAACAAAGCAATGGTTAAGAGCAGCCATCGTCGGATTGGAACAAAAGCTCTAATTTCTTGAGGTATTTGGAGTTTCTGTGTGTTTTGATTTGGATCAAAGCAAGTCTGAGATGCTATTTATAGGGGGGGAAAGTGATGAAGAAATCTCAGAGTTTGATGAATGTAGTTGGGAAAATGGGGAGGAGAACCTTGTTTGTTCACCTTCCTGGCTTCCTGCTTATTCAAATATAAGCACACACCAATAGCTTAACACATGCCAAGTGTTTATATGACGAAAAATGAAAGTTCATGACCCAATAGCATGCTGAGAGGGTACTAGAATGGTCTTATAGGTATTTGGTGGGTAAAACTTAGGTCACGATTAGTAAGTTGGATCAACCGTCGTGGTTCTGAACACGTTTAATGAAGTATGTCAAATGTCTTTATGCTAGCCAACATGTTTTATTAGTTAATACTCTCTAAAACTAAAATCCATCACGTATAGGTAGTAAATGTATTAAAAATCCACTAGATCTAACTATTAACAAGATCAAGTAAAAAATGTTTCTAGTGTATAAAGATTCACCAGAAAGACAAATGAATAAAAAATTAAAGGCATATATTTTTTTTTTTTGTACAATATCAGCTAAACAAAGTTGTTGAGTTAACGTGTACTCATATTTTGATATAAACCCAATTCATTCATGATTGTTTTAGCACCAAAAATTCTCGTTAAAGGGTTGGCTCACAAGTTATGATATTTCTTTATGCAAATTACATTTTGACCCCTTAACTCAAATATTTCTTTCCTTTATCCCCTCAACTTTCATATTTCTCACATTATACCCTCAATTATGTGAGTAATTTCACACTGCCACAATTATAAAACGTCCATTACATATTTAATGAAAAGTTATTTCATTTTGCCTCCCGAACTGTATAATTTTTTTTTTGCTTTGTCACGTCAACGATTTCAATTCAAAAAGATAACACACGTTTGTAATTGTGAAAACGTCAAATAATCAAAGAATTTGAGGGAGCAATGTGAAAAAATGGGGCAAAGTGACAAAAGGGTCGTAATTAAGGGGTCAAAATATAATTTACCCTATTTTTTCTCAAACCCAAACACAAAGTAGAACCCATAATATTCAGAGATATAGAACGAGGCCATTGCACTACAAAGTTTCAAAACACAACCAAATATCATGAACCCAATAACCCAATCAACTAAAAGTT